CTAGCAGGGGGCTGCGGGTCGGGATTGGGGGGCACTACAGAGCTGGGCACAGCCCCAGCCATCACCGGTTATTCCATGTCGGCCATGTGTGGAGGTCAGGCGGCACGACCCAGCTCCCCAGACACCACGTTCCCGCCTCCCCGCTCTCCGGGCCGCCCCCTGCCTGGTGGCCTGGCTGAACGCGACAGCCGGACGTGGGCTGACCTGAATCCAGCTAGCGCGTAGCAACAGCAGTGCAGGCTGCGCAGCGCGGGTGACGCCAGCCTGGCCTGGACCCTGGGCACATCCTCGGTTCGCGAGACCAGGCTGCCCTGCCCTGTGCCAGCTGGATTCAAGCTGGCTCGGGTAGGCCCAGGCCCAGCTCTGCTCCACAGATGTACCCCGAGGGAGGGCTCCTGTCCACACTACTAAGTCCTGTGTCACAGACCCCATCCGGGCTCAGACAGGATCCACTCACTGCTGGTCCTCCCGAGGAGTTCAAGCCAACGTTAGGCATCCCAGCCGGGGCGGGGGCAGAGGCTGCTTTGTGGGGTCTTGGACCTAATTCTCCTGCTGCTCCAGGCCGTCTCAGCCTCTGCGGGCGCCGGCTCGCTGAGCTGAGCTGAGCTTTATCGCCAGTTTCTGCCCGCCCCGTCTCACTGAAGTTCTTGGCACTGTGCCTTGGTGGGAATGGGAACCAAGAGGCTAAAACTCTCCTGGCATGATCCCTGACACGTCTCAGACACCCAGAGAGCTGGACAAGCATGGGGGGGAAAACAGTACGTGCCTCTGACTTTAAACCCACTGTCCCGATTCCCCAAAAGAAGCTTATTTCTTAGAGCTCAACGGGATCTACAAAACACGCCCAGTTTGACCCCCGGTATTTGCATCGTTTCTCTGTCACACACGGGGATGTGGGGTTTTTCATGGACACACAGAATTCAAAAATGGCTGAACCAAAACTGAGCAAACCTCTCCCGGGAGCCGAGAGCAAGTGTGGGCCACGTCACGGATTTGGTTTGGAAATCTGTGAGCAACCACGAAAGGGAGGTTTTAACAGAAGCTGGAACTAACATGTATGCTATAAACATGCACAACCAACAGGGGAAACTTCCCGCCTCACTGAAATGCAGCCACCTCTGGGGTGGAGCGAGGCAGCTGTTTAACAGCTCAGAGCAACACATGGCAGTTTAGGGCCCACCCCATTAGAAGGGAAAGGGGTTCCTCAAAGATAGGCCTCCTGTAGTGCTCACACAGCGCTGTGACCCCAAACTCTCAGGCAAAGGGCCCAGGGGCCAGGAGAGGTCTGCACCTTGGGCTGAACCCCCACCCAGGGATCAGCGCCTCCTGCTGCATTGCCAGCTCCTGCTGCCCCCTGCCCGAGGGCTGGCGTGCCCGAGCCCCTCCCAAAGCCCCAGCAGGGGTGAGGGCAGAACAGCCATGCACACGAGCGCCCCGTTAGTACGAAGAGAGGGGGTGGAAGTTAGACTCCACAAGCTACGCGGTCCCCACGCAGCATGATTCCTGGCATCTCCCCCCACTCCCTGTGGGCTCCCCAGTAGCCTGCGCCCCTTCCGGGGGGCAAGGAGGGGAGGGTCACGGACAGGGTGGACCGGCCTGCAAACCAAACAGCCACACGGGCCCCCCACATCCCCTCAGGCTCCGTGCCCACAGAAGGCAGGCGACCCGCGGCCCCCACCCCACCAGGCCGTCCCTGCACCCAGGGCCGTGGGGAGCGGAGAAGAGGCAGAGGAAAGCAGAGCAGAGGGACGTGGTTCTTACTCATCGATCTTATCAGGGAAGCCCCAGCAGTGCTGTGGGTTGGTGTCTCCATGGCCAGTGTGGATGAAGCTGTTTTTTAGCGGCTGGCTGATGTCGTGGGCCGACAGCCCTGCCACGGAGGTCACCGTGTTTCGCGGGAACTGCCCCACTTTAAGGGTCCTCTTATTCTGACCCCGCCACCAATAATTCTCAGCCCTAAGGAACAAAAAGGCCCTGGTTACTGACCCGTCCAACCACGGCCAGCGCTGCCAAGTGAGACTCGGGCACCGCAGGGCCCTCCCAGCGCCGGCCAGGATTGTCCCCGGTTTGCACACGGGGATAAGGGACTCGCCCAAGTTCACCCGGCCAGTCAGTAGCAGAATCTGGAGTCCTGTGTCCCAGGTCCCAGCTGGGACCAACGTGCCCCGCTCCCCTCTCAAGAGCCAGGAGCAGATCTGCACTGCCCCGCCCCTCAGGCTGTCACTGGCCCGAGCGGAATCACTGCACCCATTAGTGAAATGCAGCCACCTCTGGGGTGGAAGGTGGCAGCTGCTTAGCACGGCACAGCAACACTGCACTGGGGGATTTTGGGGAGCTGTGTACAATGCCCCAGGTGGGGTTTGCCCAGGACACTGGCCTGACGCCCGACGGCCCCAGGAATTGCTGTGGGATGGTCAATGGCCACCGCTGGCTGGGACCTCAGGTACCCATCAAATCGGAAAGAGGCACAAGCAGCAGCCCTAGGACCACATTGGGGCGCTGACTCTGAGGGGAGAAGGACCACAGTGAACTGCCCCCACAGTGCCCCCCGCTGACCC